TATTCAATTTTAACTTTTAATATTTATACTTTTAAGTTTTAGATGCTCAAAATTTTCTTTATGTCAGTTCATAACAAAATTTAGAATTCAAAGTATACATCTATCTACTAAAGTGTATTCTCTTTTAATCTTCACTAATAAATCAAAACTCCAATTTTCTTCAGTCTTATTCTAACTTTCTTTCTTTGCCAGCTCATGCTGTCAAATCATCAAATGGGAAAGAGGGCATCCAATCGCCATTTTTTTGGAAATGCTAACAAATCGTCTCTCTCTTTTTCCATCTTGACGTAGTTGTCTTGAAGTATTTATCTTCCCTTCACTCTGTTCTTCTTGTTGTTCCTCAAGTTTCTTCTGGTTTGTATAGAAAGTCTTTTCCATTTTCTATATTGTCAGTCTCTTTTCTGGGTTTTCCATTAACTCTATTTGAATCTTCTGTAGTAGTGTTTAATTGTTCCACTTCTATTATATTCTATGTAGTTGATTATTTAGTTATCGTCAGAGTTTTAATTTGTATATCTGGGCTGACATCTTGTTCTTTTCTGTAGCCTCTTATTTCATCAGTGGCTGTAAGAATGGTTTTAATAATTGCTTTCATCAAAAAAAGAGTCTGTTCCTGATCTTCATCCATGTTTTCTTAATAGTGCGTAAAATTAAAAGCTTTACAGTAAAAAATAAGAGTAATTTTGTCACTGAGTATAGAACAAAGCTGGGGTTCTCAGAGCTAATATCTTCCAAGGTTTCAGGAGTCTTATCTATAGTCTGGGCTGTGAGCCAAGTCTCTGTTAGGCAATAACAAGTTGTAATATCAGGATTAGCCACAAGGTATCACCCATACCATTTAGGAATTTTACTTCTTTTTATAGATAAAAACCCAAATCTTCAATAAAAATAGAATAAAAAATAAGGAACCTTTTAGTCCTCAAACTTTAGGAAAATTAAAGTCCAATTAAAATCAGTTAAAATCAGGTTATTCTTTCAGTGTTTTAAACTTTCCTGGATAGTCAGTTGCCACTGTTATTAGAGGGTGGGATAGGATTCCCCTTCCGTCTATCCACAGGGGGGGAAAGTATTTTAGGCAGCTTATGCAGGTAAAGAAGATAATGAGATTTAAGAGAGGTATATCTCACCCAATCTTGTCCACACTGCTTTGTAGGTGCCTGGTGGTAAGTGTGACTTCGGCTGTCTGCAGCCTAGTGACGAGCCATATTACTATGGCTGGTCTTTTGTCCGCTGGTTTGGAGGGCTGCGCCAGATCTAGCGGAAGAGCTACCGCTCTCCTGTGATCCAACGGGACCCCCTCCTTGCTGGTCGCCCCTACAGGGCAACTTTTGACCCTTTCCAGGGTCCCCCAGCGAAATGAAACTGGACGCAGAGGACGGAGTTCACCTTCCAGACGTCCATGGCGGCCGCATCGGCAAACCAGAAGTCGTTTTAGATATTTAAATGTGATTGACTTTAAGAAAACTACAATGGGTAAAAAAATGTTTTGAATAAGATGACTAGATGACTAGATTTATTAAATTGAATATTTAAAGATTAAACATATTTTTAATCATGGTAAAAAGGAGGAACATGTATTTTAAATAGTATACTATCTTTTTATTTTTCTTTACTCTTATTCTTTTTTTTTCTTTTTTTAGTCTTATTTATTCCTTAAGAAAGGTAAAAGTATTGGGATGGCTTACATGAGAAAAATAGACTTAAATATTTAAATGTAATTAACTTTGAAAAAAATCTTAACCAGTAAGAATGTCTTGAACATTATTGGGAAAACAAATGTAAACAAGAACTGTAAACAGAATCTATGATGAGGCAACTAGAATGACTAGATAGAAAAGAAATATTATATTGATATGATTATTATATATAGAAATATTAGAAAAAAATTATACCCAATTGTTATCTATCAAAACAACAAGAATTGTATTAACTTAAGGTTGGCAAAAGAGAAAATTATGGGAAAAAGAGGAAATCAAGTAAAGCTATTATGTGAATTATAGATCATAGAAACTAATTGTTAATGAATGTTTTTTAAATGTAAACCCAGACAACACACTGTTTACCAAATATTAAGGTGACTATGTTAAAAATCAATAAAATATATTATGAAAAAATATCTTTATACGTCACAATTTTCTCATAATTAATTAAGTTTGGGTGAACAAATACTTCCATTGTTGAAAGCCATCCAGGTATTTTCATGTAATTTTTACTTTTTCCCATTCTAGAAGAAGTGTGTTTCTTATGTAGTGGCATTGAAAGTATCTATGTATTTTATTCTTCCCATACCATAAGAAGGCATGCCATCCGAGTTGTAGGTCATGCCCCTCTAGGTATAGTAATCTTTTATCTCTAAGAGTTATCCATTCTTTTAACCAAGTTAATACAGATACTTGATAATATAAATCCCAATCTGGCAGGCCAAATCCTCCATTTTCTTTAGATTCTTGTACCTTTTTCAATCTAATGCTAGCTTTTTTTCCTTGCTAAATAAATTTCAAAATCAGTGTATTTAATTCATCAAAAAAAATTGCCCCAATTTTATAGATATTGTTTGAAATAAAAAGAGTTGTTTTGGTAAAATATTCATCTTCACCATTGCTATTCTCCCTAGGATTGAAAGTTTTAAATTTTTCCATTTTTCCAGGTCTAATTTTATTTGTTTTAATAATTTTATGTAGTTGTCTTCTTTTATTGTTGTACACCTTACTATTAAATATATCCCCAAGTATTTGATTTTCTTAACTATTTGAAGGTCTGTTTTTTCTGACAATTGATTTTTTGTTTAACTGTAAGGTTTTTAGTTATCACTTCTATCTTTTCTCTATTTATTTTCAGTCCTGCCATTTCTCCAAATTCTTCTATCTTTTTCATAAGCTTGAAGCTTGTCTCAAACGGGTCTTCTAATACAAAGACCAAGTCATCTGCGAATGCTTGTAGTTTATATTTTTCATCTTTTAACTCCAGTCCTTTAATTTCTGAGTCTTATCTAATATTTCTAATCAGTACTTCCAGTGTTAATATAAATAATAATGGGGATAATGGACATCCTTGTCTTGTGACTTTTTTAATATTAAAGTTTTCTGTAAAGTCTCCATTTACAATTACTTTAGCTATTTGTCTATGATAAATTATTTTAATTATATTTGTAAAATTTTCTCCAAAATCCATTTCGTTTAGTTGTTGAATCATAAACTGCATAGCCAAATGGCTGAGCAACCGCATCAGCCATTTGGTAGATGACAGTCGAACCACCGTAAGGTCGGCAGAGGAGTTCCTAGATAGAATCAGAACCCTAAGGATAGAGGAGGACGAGGTGATGGTGTCTTTTGACGTCGTCTCCCTCTTCACCTCTATCCCACAGGGGTTAGCTGTCACTGTAATAAGAGACCTCCTTGAACAAAAGGGCCCAGGACAGCAACAGGACTCCCTCCGACCTGAAGACCTTGTAAATCTATTGGAGATATGCCTAAAAACGTATTTTACATTCCAAGGCACCACATTTGAGCAGATCAAGGGCACCCCCATGGGATCCCCGATCTCGAGCGTCATAGTGGAGGCCGTGTTGCAGCAGCTGGAACACATAGCGATGACCCGGTATTGCCCCAAATTCTGGGCCCGCTATGTGGATGACACATTTGTGGTCATCAAAAAGAGCCAGAAAGCAGACTTTGTGGGCATCCTTAATTCAGTGTATGTGGATATACAGTTTACGGAGGAGGAAGAACAACAGGGCAGGTTGGCGTTCTTGAACGTCTTGATCCACCGCCAACCGGATGGAACCCTGAGGACTAAGGTATACTGTAAACCCACGCACACTGACAGGATTTTACATTACGACAGTAACCATCCGGAGGCCCACAAAGCCGGCTGTATTAGAACCCTCTTTAAGAGAATAGACTCCCACTGCAACACGGCCAGAGCTTGTGCTTTTTAGCTATTTGGATATATACATACACACACGCACACACACATTATTCTTTATCTTATCAGATATAGTTTCTGCAACCAAGAAAATTTCTGTTTATGATTCTGTAGATTTAGTTCTACTTTCAGTCATCAATCTATAAAAGATATATCATTTTTTGACATATACCAAAATATAATGTCCAGAAGAACTAATAGTTAATAAAAGGAGAAATAAGAGTTTGAGAATATGAGTGTGGAAGTGAAACAGGAGATTTTTTGCGGGAAATAAAAACTGTAGTTAGTTTTCTTTTGAGAAATTGATGTAAATGAACCAAAAATTTGGCATCACATTATTAGTAATGTAATTAACTGTATGGCAAGAATATTCAACATTCAGAATGTGGAATCATGAGGTAGCCTTTATGGCCATTAACTTATGATATTAAATATAATTGCATGTTGTAGAGAGTTGGGATAACTATCTTTGGGGATACAGACTAAATTCAATAGAAAATAGAGATGTGGAACACATTTCTCTTGCCAGGTTTTTCCAAAGCATGAGAATGGGGTTTTACAACACACTAAATTTCATTCTACTTTCCCCCTTTCACCAAGATCATTTGTATGTTCAAGCCTGAAAGTAAACATAATATTGATATATTTAATATTTTTAAAAATAGTTGAATTGACTTTTAATTTGAAAATTATTTCAATTATTTCAACAAGCATTCAGTTCAAGTAGCTTAATTTTGATTTGATTCTAAATGAGACAAAATATTTGTACATGGACCTGGACTAAAGTCAGTTGTGCTCCTTGTCTAGAATGTACTAGTGTTCTTTGATTTTTAATCTTGCCTCATTCTCTGTATGTCCTCCAGATCTGCTTTGAATAGATTTGCTGGGTGCATTGAAAAGGTGGAGGAGAACATAGGGATGTTACATTGTACAAATGGAAGTGGGTTCACTTAAAATTAACGGTGTTCTATTTTTTAACCATTTGATCATAATTATAGATAGAACTTTAAAAGTAGGGAAGCTATATTTACCTAAAAAGGCAAGTAAATTTCCCTTTTTATCCTTTTCTCTTATAGGCCTTCTGCTCCAGCTTATTCAGACTTACCATTCATCAGAATATCTTCTCACAGAAATCCTGCTACAGCATCAGAATCACCTTTTAGTGCACCTCATCCATACATTAACCCTTATATGGATTATATCCGATCATTACACAGCAGCCCTTCTCTCTCCATGATCTCAGCTGCTCGGGGACTAAGTCCTACAGATGGTGAGTTAAAATCTAGTTTCCTGTTTGCTGTTGTAGTTGCATGGTGTATGCTAGTCTATGATGGTAATACAGATTGATATGATTTGATAGTTGTATTAATTTTCTGAAAGCATTCATTTCAATCACTTGCAGATTCATTACATAATTATTATATCATAATTGTTTTAGTATTTTATTATCTTAAGGCCAGTCATTTATACATTACATTTTGGTTATTTTTAAAATAAACAAAAATATATGCCATTCATCCTGCTCAGATAAAATTATAAATATAAGGAGAAATTCTTGAGTTACCAAGACAAGTCTGTTTTATGGCACACTGCGATAAGAAATGAGAAATATTTTTATCTATTTTCTATAGTAGTTTGATAACTTGAAAAAAAATAGAATTTTTCTCAAGTTGAATTATTTTGGAAAGGTAATGTAAGAAGAAATTTAGGGAATTAAAACACTACTGTTATGAAGGAATAAATTAATTTAATCCTTCTAGATGACAGTAAAACCAGTAAAAGTTATGACAATTTATCGGGTTTGCTAAACAAGGTCCTTTTCTGCAATATTGATGATTATAGTTGTAGAAATTCCTGAAATGGGTGTTTGTGTGTTTGATGCAAGAAGAAGAAAAATGGCTTTTGAATCCCTGCATATATAGTTATCTCATTCATTGATTCAATACAAAAATGGAAGATACATTAGTACTGGGCTTTTCTCCACAGGATTCAGTCCTGGCCGAATTAGCAATAGCATTTAGGCTTATATACCCCTCCACAGCGCTTTACAGCACTCTCTGGATGGTTTACAGTGTAGTTGTAGTACATTGCCCCCAACAATCTGGGTCCTCATTTTACTAATCTCAGAAGGGTGGAAAGCTGATTCAACCTTGAGCCCTGTCAGGATCAAACTGCAGGATCTGTGCAGTTTGTCTGCAATACTGAATTTTAACCATTGTTGCTACCAGAGCTCTAATTATGATTGTCCTTGCTGTAAAGTTAGAGATCCTCTTATTATTAATTTCGTTGTGAGCTACACAATGACAATAAAGATATTCTATTCTATCAATACCACCTATTCTTTAAATGATCTGAGGTGAGATGATTGTTGTTATTGTTACTGTACTGCTTTGATTCAATCCATCCATATCTTTTTGATGAATCCATACAATAAACCTCAGGGAACATAAGGAAAGTTTTATCACCCATTTGATTTGCAGATTTTATATATTTTTAGTATATATACATTCAGCATTACATCATTTAAAATCCAAGCCACATGATGAATATATTCATAAAAAATAATAACTGTAACAAATACTTTTGTGAAAACCTTTCTGGTAACAATTCATTACATAAATGGACTAAATTACCATGTTTGCTTATATTTCATAGTTGCTAATAACAGCCAGTAATAAAATCAAAAATATGCATCCCTGGATAACTAAAAGATTATTAATTCAATTTGTGAGAACAAAGCCTTAAAAATTTACTTAAAGTAAAATAACATTTATATATTGCAGAGGAATAAAAGATTGCTGGTGTTATCTAGGTTCACAAATTATAAATAATGTGTTAGAAAATATCATGATTGGTTTTCCTTGTTATGCTAAGCCAAAATGAAACAATGTGTGAAACACACATTGACTTTACTAGAAATTTCATCTCCAGCATAAGCATATTCCATTTTTTGGTTATTGCTGTGTTAAATTAACTGCAGTTTAAATGTTGCCTAATGGTAATTGCTGCTAAATTGAGTTATAATGGCTCAAATTATGTTGGTGGTATGCATTGAAGACAACGAAACTATTTTAATTAAGGGAAAAGTCATTCATAGAACAGAATAAAATAGCAAGTTTACAAAACAGATATTCTTCCTTTAACTAGATTTGAAAAATGAATTGTTCTTACTGCCTAAATGGATAAACCATATAAGTAATCCTCACTTATAAAAGTATATAGTTAATCCATTACTTAGTGATACTTGTTCTTATGAGAATAAGTTTTAATGACATGGCATTTTATTGCTTAAACATTTGTTAATCCCCAAAGGTTATATTAAGAATCCCATAAATAAGTGTATGATGTCATCAAGCAATTGTTAAACAATAAAATCTGATTTTAAAAATATGACACTTTCAGATATCAGATTAATTATAATTAAATGTGATCTCTAAAATTTTTTGTACTTTTACATTTTCATGTTTCTATAAGAACTATATAATATTTTAAATTTATCATCTGGCTTTGGGTACTAGGTAGACTTGTATCTTGAATCAGATACAATTTACTATATATCTTTAAATGAATATATGTATATCAAATATATATGCATACATACATACACAAATGCATACATACATATATATTATATACATACATCTTCAAAACAGGAGAAAAAAACATTACAAAAATAAAGTCCCAAACAAGGAAGTTTAATAAATTCAACATTTCCTCATCATTTGATTTTAAGATAGCCAATGTAATCTTAATCATAATAATATATGACCAGAGTAAATAAAATTGCTTTTGAAAAGAGCAGCTCAGTTATTAATTACAATATTATATTAATTAAATCTCATTAAATTGTTTTGATGCTTTGTGTATAAAATAAATTGACATTCAGGAGATACTGTAATGGCAAAAGCTCCCAATATAATCATTATTTGCCAAGATATGTCAATAAAGTGACTAGAAGGATTTAAAGCACAAAACAAGCAGATTCATGTTCTTCTCTCTATATATATATATATATTAAAAAATTTCAATTTTTAAAGAATTTGTCCAGAATTTCTAAAGAAAGTTTAGAAATAAGCAAATTTTAGGAAGATATAGGATGTGACAGTCTCCCCTCTCCACAAACAAATTCTTCTTTAAGTGTTACAATGGTAGTATATGAATTTAAAACTCTCAGCACTTCAACACCTATTTATGATAATTCCCATAATTAAATTAACATTTAAAAGTCGGTATTCTTAATTTCAGCCTATCTTCTCAAGTTGAGGTTTAATACATGCTTTGTAAATTGACAATATTTACTGATACTAGATTAAATTTATTCAAAGTTTCTTACTTCAATATCTAATTTTGTATTGCTATATTTTATTTATTTTCATGAATCACATTAGGAGGCAAAAGTTAAAAGTGCTGGCAAATACTTGCAGCCAATATTTGTATGTAGCCACAATATATATTCAGCTTATTTTCTGAGGTCCCTGATATACATATTCAATGTAATGAAATAAATGTTTGGGATTTTTTTTTCTGAAGTTTTGGCAGATTAGGGTTTAGTGGAATAAAGCCTCACAAAAGCTAAAGATATTCATTTTACCCTTAAAGCTCTGACTCTGTTTTTCCAATTTTGTGGAATAGTAAAAAAAAGCACATATTTTATCTTTTAAAGTGTCTTAAAATAGGCATGTAGCTGTACGCTGTGAAATCATGTCACAACCTATACTTCCTGAGAAACTGGGGTTTCAGAAAAAACTTTGAATTATGACCCCCAAGCTTCAAGGGAAAAAATGTTTTTCCTACATTGTAAAAATAGTTCCAGTGGACAGAAAAATATTAGTTTACTTATTACATTACATTCCGACGACTAGTTCATTCAGCACAATGATTGCTAAGTAAACATGTGATGCACACACAGAGAGATACACAAACAGAGGCTGCTAAGATCAGTGGTTGCTGCTGTCTCATTCAGATAAAGTTTTCTGTACTATGTACTGTGCCTAACCCATTGCTTCTGTTTTTTGCCCCTTGCTTAAACAATCTATTTATTACTGAGCTGCTTTTCTCTGGTGCACATGTCTAAAAAGTGCCGACTGAAAGTTAACAAATTCAGCTCTGTGACCTTATTTAGTTGATTAGAGCTCTCCCATTTCTTGAATGATGCCTGAAACTGACCAGACCTTAATCAGTTTCATACAGAAGGCTTCTGTTGTCAGGCTCTAGAAATTTGTTTATAAATGTGCACCTTTACCAGAAAAGTTATTTTTGATTACCATTAATTATTATCATATTTGTGAATAGTCACTAATTGGGGAAGTCAAAGTAAATAGGGGTGGCTATAATAATTTTAAAAATGGAGTCATAAACTTGTCAGATTCTGGATGTTACATGTTTGGAATACTATGAAAGCCTGTTCAAAATATGATAAAAATACTGGAATACAGACAAAAAGAACCAGCCTGGGATATGGGTTAAGGTATCAGGATAGAAATCAGGAGATGCTGAGTTCTAGTTCTGCCTTGGCCACAAAGCCTCCTAGGTGACTCTGAACCAGTCACTTTTTCTTTCAGCTCTTGAAAGGAGGCAATAGCAAGCCATTTTTGAAAGCCTGCAAAAAAAAAAATTCCTTTAAGAACTAGTCCAGGCAGCTGATAAAAACAAGAATGATCTGAATGTAAGCATGCACATGCACACATACACAAACAAGGGTATCTAATAGAGAGTGACGATTTGTAATATAGACATCATGTGATCCTTTCATCTTGTATTTGTCAGCAACCTGGTTGCTGTGTTTTTTTTTAAATTGCAGTTTGTACAATTCTCCCCATGCAAAGAATGTTGTAACCAAAGGTGTAACCAAAGCATGAATAACTACCAATAAATCAGTGGAAGAGACACAGTTGGTGCATATTAATTGTTGAGATGCACTCCTTGTCACAACCATCATCTGCAAATGCAGTGATTGATTAAGATGCAGACTGAGCTCTGTTAGGGAGTAAGGTCACTGAGGGGAGACAGTGTTAACTGTGCACATCTGAATTTGAATGTCAGTTCACATCTTAAAAATAAGCCTTCTTTAAGTTTAAGCCAGAATTACCCAATTTCTGCTTAACAACAGAATAATAAAAGTCTAATAAAAATCAGGATTGTTTTGCTGCAGCACATGAATTACAGAACAGGAAAAAAGAGTAAGATGATCAATCACTTTATGGAGCCTTAAATGATTGTATGAAGCAGCTCAATATTTTAGAGCTTCAGAAATCAATTCTTATACAATGA